ATATATATATAATAATAATAAATCCTTTGAGAAGTTACAATAAATATAAATGCACAAAGCAAAAATGGACAAAACTGAAAGGAGAAATAAACATCTCAGTATCTGAAGATTTCAGTGATAAAGATAATTAGGCAGAAGTCCATCTAAACCTATGGGCACATAGAACACTTCAACCAACAATAACAGTGGAGTACAATTTCTTCTCAACTTCACATGGACCATTCCCCAGAATAGGCCACCCATCAGGGCACGCACAAAGCAAAAATGGACAAAACTGAAAGGAGAAATAAACATCTCAGTATCTGAAGATTTCAGTGATAAAGATAATTAGGCAGAAGTCCATCTAAACCTATGGGCACATAGAACACTTCAACCAACAATAACAGTGGAGTACAATTTCTTCTCAACTTCACATGGACCATTCCCCAGAATAGGCCACCCATCAGGGCACAGCGAAAATCTAAACCAACATGTGATATACTGAAAGTCTATGTATTTTATTTGTATTTTTCTGGAAATCTAAAACTATCATAAAATTAAAAGTTTAAGAAATATCCCCTAAGAGGCATGTGTCAAGCAATAAAAGAGAAAAATCTTAGTTACAGTCCCCAACCGAAATGCCTGCTCTTCAGGAGGATGCTATAAGATGCAGCATCACACAGTTTCCAGAAACAATAACCTCTGGTTGGGAATGAAACATTTTAATACATTGGTGTTGGCTTAGCAGATAAGAGCATTTGCTGCATTTGCAAAGCACCAGGGTTTGGTTCCCAGCACTGAAGTTGGGCAAGTCACAAATATCAGTAACTTCAACTCCAGGGGAACAAACCCTTGTGTGACCTCTGCAGGCATGTGCCTATACATGTACACAACACATACGTGCACGCACACACACACACACACATACACACACACACAAATAAAAATCTTTTAAAAGCATAAACAGGGACTGGAGACATGGCTGAGCAGTTAACAGAAGTACTGCTCTTGCAGAGGATCCAAGTTTGGTTCCCACCTCCCATGATGTTGGGCAACTCACAACCACCTATAACCCCAGCTCCAGGGGATGTGATGCTGTCTTCTGGATTCCACAGGCACCTGCACTCTTATGCACATACACACACTCATACAGACATATGCACATAAATAAAAATTAGAATAAACCCAGGCATGGTGGTACACACCTTTAATCCCAGCACTAAGGAGGCAGAAGCAGGCAGATCTCTGTGAGGATTGAAGTCAGCCTTGTCCACATAACACATTCCAGGCCAGCTGGTGCTATAAGGAACCTTTGTCTTTAAAAAAATGTAAAAGTAAGAAAGTTCACCTTAGTTTCAATAATGCACGCTACAAAACACTGTACTAAAATATTAAACATCATATTTTCACAAAAGATTAGTGCTTATCAGAACAGTCCCTGCTGGTTCCTTGGAAAGTTAAATTTAAGACAGCTTTATCAAGTTGCCTGTTTATCAAAGTCTTGCTGAGATGATTCAAACACAGAATCATTCTGGAAGGAATACCTTGTTCATCTATTGGAAAGCAGATGGAGCCCAACCTTTCACAATGAAGGTTGTGATGGTTAATTTCAACTGTCAAACTGACTGAATTGGAAATACACAAGACTTCAGTAACCAGGCACCTTTGGGTGTGTCTGTGAGGGCATTTCCAGAGGATGCCCAGTGAGAATCAGTATCCATCTCTCAATGTT